TTGGAGATGACCGTTGACCGATGGGTCACGATCATTTCCGGGTTTTCCCGATTGGTGATTTTTGGTGAAAAGCCGCCCATAATTATCTCCATTTTAAACAAACCTTTTCTGTAGTGTAAAAAGAGAACTCCAAAAAAGGTTTTAACCGAAATTTCCCTATGGCTTTTAGATTTAAAGATATTCTGCTCAAAGAAAAATATTTTCGTTTTATGATGAACGAGTCATGATAACTCGAGTGATAAAAGATCTCATCAATTTGGTTTATGACGATCGATATCACTAGCAATCCTGTAAATTGGTTAGTAGGAGCTGTGGGTATGTATACACATATCATCCATGATGAATTCGAAACAGAAGCGGAAGTAAATGAAACTGAGACATTTCTGTTTCTGTATTGATCAGCCTAAATCACCTGTCCACACTATCGACAGTAATACCTCACTTTTAGTGTTTGGATTTTGCTCGTATACTCATTAAATCTCCCATGACCCAGAGACCCGCGATTATGAAGATGTCGATATTGAGGGGCAAATTAATTATTTAGGTTCGAGAGCGCAGTGCCAGGAGCGTTCCCATGGGTCAGACACGTGCATCACGCACATCCTTGAGTGCAGGAACACCAGACAGCCTCAGCGATAACGAGAGCTCCTTCAGGCTACCAGCAAGAAAGACCAGCACTCCTTACAGGAGTGGTGTAACACCAGGAGGCAGTCGTCCATCTAGTCGACCAGCATCTCGTCCAGCCAGTAGACCAAGCAGCAGACCAGCATCTCGAACAGGCAGCAAACCACCAAGTCGTTATGGCTCGACTCAATCCCTAGACAGCACCGACGAGTCTGGAACACCAAGTCGTATTCCAAGGCGAAGTGGAGCAACAACTGGAAATACACCGACCTCAAGTCGTCACAACAGTGTTTCAGGTAGAAAATTGGGTGCTCCAGTTAATGGATCGTCATCGCGCTCTAGGACACCAACTGGACTCATGAGTCCAGCGAGTGGAGTGCCATCGAGGTACGTCAAAATCCATTCGTAAATATCATTTCGATTTTTCATTTTCAATCCAGAGAAAAATCCCTGAATTTGCATTTCAGTTGCACAGCATCTAGTTGCATAATGAATGTACAATCGTACGTTTTTACAATCATTAACATAATCATAATTAGTCAACAGTATCTGTTGATGCTCTTCGTAATGCAGTAATCATTAATGGATATTTTAATCATGCCAGGTTAATTCATTGAAATCATACCGATAACCTGTTAAATCGCTGGCACTAATTTAGAGTCGTAACAATTGTTTTTAGACTGAGTTCAAATCTATACCGACCATCGAGCATTCCAACTCTGTCTGGTGTCGGAACACCGAATAGGTAAAGCAGAATTAATAATTCATGCGGCTGTTCGAACGGTCGCAATAATTCGGGAAATGGGTCGACATGCTTGTCAATATTTCAGTTTAAATCTAACAAGGAACACAATGCAAATGAAAATTTTTTTGTCAACCAAAAAAAAATGTTTAATTCATCGCAAAATAGTCATTTATCCTATTTAGTGTTCCTCGTAAGAATAATGAACAATGCTTGAACATTTACTAATACCCGTGTGAACTCTAATTTTTTCATAATTTCATTAACTCTGGGTTTGATTGTTAATGATTCTGGTATGGTGATGGTTTAGTCGTTCTCGGATACCCGTGTACGTTGGACCGGAAATTAAATCTCCCCAATCGACAACGAGTAATTTCTCAACTTATTCCACGCAAAGCAACCACTCGACAATATCAACTGACTCCACTGGGTAATGCCTGATATCCGTGCATTCTTTTTTCGTGTAATTGTCCTTTTGTTTGAGTTTTCAATGATTTTTACTTTCACTGTTGCATGATCAATGTTAATGTAGATTGCCAACTAGTTGTCAGATCGACAGCTCCTAGAATCACCTGAATAATTCAGAAAAATTATTCTTTCAAAGGATCACTTCGATTTCGGAAGTCATTACTGCATTAATTAATAACTGATTAATTATTTTCTCTGAGTTCTTCAAATTTTTCTGAGACCCGTCGGATCTGTCAATCGAATGATTGATTTTTATTTTGAAATTGTAATTGAAATTAAAAAAATCACGTACTTTATTTCCCTTGTAAGACCGAAATAAGCAATTTCCTTTTTTCCTCGGAGGATCATTTTGGAACTGACGTTTTTAATTTATAATTAATGCCAGGGGCAGTTCGGTCAATACGAGTTCAGCAACTAACACCTCATCAGCTGTAAAGCAAGCTAGGTAACTGGCTAAAACTCCTCACTAAATCCGCTTATCTCTCCCAAAGCACCACAATTTTGTAGTCAAGTCATAAACTGAGATAATTCACATTTCGACGACTAATTTCCAATTTATCTCGCTAACTATCGATTTTAAAAAGAAACATCAAAAGATTTTTTTTTTAGAAAATCTCATGATCTACAAGAAAGTCCTCGAAGATTTCCCTCTGAAATCGACAGTGTTTGAGATAAATTGGTAATGAAGAAAACGGGTGAATTCGGTTTGTTAATTTTGCTGTACATTTTCGCTACTGTATTATTCCCTCCCAAAAGCGTGTGTAGCAGAATATCGTGTTTTCCCGTTGTCGCTTATCCCCCCAGCCCTATCCCAAACTAAATCGACATTATAACTTGTCAGAACAAGAACACCATCGAGTGGCTCGACAACACCCTTGCCACCAGGTTCAAAACTCTCGAGAAAGCCATCAGGTGCATCCGACACATCGGTATCAACTCCACTGACCTCTCGAAAAGGGGCCAAACCCACGCCAATCGATCAGAGAGCGCCATTTAGATTATAATTGAATAAAATATTCAATAACAGACTTATAATAACTAATAACGAACGAAATTACGCATACGAAAAAAAATACTTCATACGAGCTTCTTACGGCTATTTATAATTTCGCTAGAAAAATTATTTTTAAAATCAATAAAAATGTTTTGCAGTGCAGGTAACGGCCCATGCAGTCCCATTATAATTGCCTACGAGAAAATAGGCAATATAATTAATAGAAATGAGTATTAGATTATATGGAGAAAAAAGTGTCTATGAAAGGTCCATGTGAACTCAATATCATTATCGAGTTTTCGTTTATCATTCTTTCATCATGAAAAAATACGTTTTTTTTCTAGTGTAAGTCCTGTAAAATACGAGTCATTCATTGGCCACTGGCCAATTATCGAAGAGGTAAAGTGTTCTTAAACGAAATGTAGACACTAATTTTATGTGATGCAGCTGCATAACAGATTTACAAAAAAAAATTACCGCACGATAAATATTTGTTTGATAATTGCAAAGAATACCAGTGGAAATAAAAATTTCTACATATTGATAATATTCGTATGAAGTTTTTAATCTGAAGATTTAATTCTAAGGATTCAACTAAAACATTAAAGATAAAAAATAGTTGAAAGGATCAATGTGATTTTGCGTGAATATCGAGACTGTCGCGGTTCGGGGGTAAATAATTAAGATCAATAATGAATTTGGGACAGGTGGAGATTTTCGGGAGTATCACATTGATCGTTGTTAAATTTTTTTTAATATATTGAAGGAGAAGATAATGCTAAAACATATGATTAAAATCGTCTGACGATGAATTAAAGTTGAAACTAATATAATTTCATCGATATAGGAAATAGATATTGATCGTTTTTATAAACTGTAATAAATGATAATAAATAATACAATTGATCATCCTAAAATAGGAGTTGAATAGTATATGTGAGTGTTTTGTAGTGCATCAGGATAATATTGTTTCTCATCAGTTATTTTCTCTGCGATCATGCGTTGCGAAAGTTTTTTTCTTATTTATGCAGTTGAAATTATTTGCTTCATTCGCCAATTGCATCATAAATTACAAGCAGGGGAATATATTGTGTAAATATTGGTTGATGCTCCTGCTTCAATGAGAAAAAGATGGTGGCGTGAATAGTTAGGGTGAAATTGTTGTAAAAAGGAGGAAAACAAGTGGAAAATCAAAGCCTGAATATTCACAAGGCACAAATCATTAATCCAAACGGATATTATGTCATTTTTCAACGCATGCGAATAACTTTATTTTGTTCTATTCTTATTTTTCATTTTGTTTTTTTTTTTTGAAGGGATCTGAAAGTAACTTTAACGCAGTAGATAAGTTAAAATATTCTAAATGCAAGGGCCAACAATTGACAATTTATGCCCGCGAAAAACATTTCCAATTCTTTTTTATATTAAAAAAATGCGATTAACAAATTCCCAGTTTTCTAATATCATTTTCTAATACGATTAATGTATTAACGATTTATATGAGAAATGTTATTCTGCCTTAATGTAAAATTCTGTATTGTCGCTATAACGCTGTGAAAAAATATATATGTAGATATATATTTAAAAGGATTTACGATTATTACTCATCCCTGTTGTCCATTCAATTAAATGAACCTGTCTAGAAAAATGGAGGAATATTGAAGGTAATAATAAATGATGTGATGACTTTTATTGGATAATCACCGCTCCTTCCTCTTTTATTCAAAATAATTTAAGAAACATGGAAACAATTCGTGCGACAATGTAATCAATAACACATACTTCTCATCAACAATTACATAAACTACATCTAATCATCGCAATTAATCACTCACAATGTCTAGCATAATCACAAAAGTTGTCTTTACACTTTGACTGACAGATCGAGTCGAATTCTCAGTGTACGTACAACAAAATTCAAACAACCATCATTCACAACGTGAAAATAAAATTTACAAATGACGTTCTCAACGCTCCAATAATTTGTGCTCGACAAATATTCACAAAAAAAAATCAATAACTACCTGTTGTTCCTCTCCATGAGCCTCAAATATCTCGCCTTAACTCCTCCAGGTTCAACATTTATAGTCTCCACCTTCTTTAGCCGACCCAGTTTCTTCCTGACGAGAGCCATCCTCTCTTTCCTGAGCCTCTGCTGCTCCTTCTTCCATATGTCCTTGAAGTCCCTGCAGAAGGGCAGCCAGAGGAGGAAGAAATCCTTAGGATCAGCAGTGTCGACAGTGGCCCCCTTGGGTACATACTGGTAAAAATGCATAACAGCCTTGAACTTGACCCTCACCTCCTGGAGATTCTCCTTCTCATTATTGAGTTCACTCCTGGCACTCCCCAAAAATCCCTCGATCTTCTCCTTGAAGGCAGTGGAGTTATCGGGGCAATTGTCGATTACCATTTGGGAATTTTTCTCACATGTTTTTATTTCCTTCTCCAGTCGATCCAATTCCCTCGTTATCTCCTCGAAGTCAATGGTAGCAGCAGCCTCGATATCCCCAGGTTCAGGTATAGGCAGGGGTATCATCTCGTCGAAATTATAGTTACCCTCCTGATCGAGCCTCGTCCTCACCACGTAGTGCAGTAGCGTAACCCCAGGTACTTTGGACTTCACGTCCTTCAGTTTTCCCAAAATCTCCAGGCCAAAGCCATCAGCCTGCCCTCGCATCCTGTTCCCTCCATTCATGTAATTACCCAGAGTAAGTATCAATGCCATGATCCTCTTGAGAGACGGAGCATTCCTGAGGAATTCACAGGTCGCCCTGAGGTTCGTCAGCTTGGTGGAAACTCCAGATACTGCATCATGGAACTCCGCCTGGAACATGAGGCAGGCAATCCTCTCATTGAAGAATCTCACAGTCGACAGCTGCTTGAGAAATTGCTCAGGACGATCCAGTGGCACGTCCGGATGCTCTAGCTCATGTCTCGTAATCTCCTCGATCTCCTTCGCCGTCGGCATCACCTCGTAGATCTGTCTGAGCGCCTCCAGACTAATAACACTCGTATCCAGGTTATAAACTGCATTTTCCACCTCACAGAAGTCCACCCTGAGACTCTTCTCCAGGATTCCCACGTTTTTCGATCGTTTTGAGTCGAGAATTTTCGCTGGCTGAATTTTCGACGGCTTATCGGACTCCTCTCGCTTTATCGTTGGCTTTCTTTCAACTACTTGGCGTGAGAACAGATCGACAAACTCCTTTATGTTTACCTTTTCCTCTTCAATTTCTATCCAGATGGGCACCTGGGGAGGTGCGCCTGGAGAAGTTGCTGGAATTGTAGGAGTTGTATTCGCTGGAATGACAATTCTCGTCCAGTAGAGGGGCTTCATGGGTACCTCTGGGTCTAAAGGTTGTTTTCTCATTACTGCTCTTGCTGGAGGATTCCAGCCCCCTGGCGGCGGAGGCGGGAGGGCGGTAGGCGTTCCAGACTGAGGGGGAGGCGGTCCCACTTGGCCCAGAAGGGGTGGAGGTCTTGGAATTGATCCAGGCATTGGAGGCGGTGGCGGACAACTTCCAGGGAGAGGTGGAGGGGGTGGTGGGCCTGAAATTCCAGGCATAGGCGGTGGAGGGGGAGGCCCTGAAATTCCAGGCATAGGCGGAGGTGGAGGAGGTGGAGGACATGAAATTCCAGGCATAGGCGGGGGTGGAGGAGGTGGAGGACATGAAATTCCCGGCATAGGCGGGGGCGGAGGAGGTGGAGGACATGCAATTCCAGGCATAGGCGGTGGAGGAGGTGGAGGATATGAAATTCCAGATATAGGTAGGGGTGGAGGAGGTGAAGGACCTGAGATTTCAGGCATGGGTGGAGCTGGTGGTGGAGGTGGAGGCGGAGGCGGAGGAATAGGAACAGAAGATGGAGGAGGAGGTGGAGGTGGTAATGGCAATGACGATTCACTCGTTTTATCATCCACAAATGAAGACGGGACTGAAGGAACTGTGGGTGTGACAATAACTTGAGTTTTGGGGTTTTCTGGTTCCACACTGGCACTCGTATCTGACTCGTAACCACTCACAAAATTTTTTTCATGTTCTGAGGTAACTCCAGCAGTGGAAAGATCATGGTTGAGACTCATAGAGTCATCGTGGAAGACTAGTTTTATCCTGGCGTTCGAGCATGTCCAATGATCGAGAATCGAATTATCTTCAATCTCTTCCTGGGACTTGGTATCGATCTCTTGTGGATGAGCGAGATGGAGGGACTTGTAGGCTGTTTCGTCGGGAAGCTTCAGGGAGTCGCTCGTTATTGAGGGTGATGACACCTCAGTCTTTGATATTTCGATGCTGGAGTGAGTGGGAATCGGTGAGATTTCCATGGAACTCGCTGTGAATCTACCGCTTTCTATGGATATATTCTCGTTGATGGGGTCCGGTGGCCTCTGGGGGTTCGGTGAACTCGACTGTCCCGAGGGAACTCGACAATTTTGATCCCTCTTTTGGTCCTCCAACTCCTCGACTTTTTTCTTGAGTTTCTCCAGCTCCTCCTGGAGCCTCGAATTCTCGTGCTCCAGGGTCTCGACGTATTCCCGAGGCTGGGAGTCTCCATTCTTCTCTCGAGAGGTCTCAGAGGCCCAGGAGTACGTGTGCTCTGCCTGGAAAAAATAAATATTATTCCTTAATTATTTCAATTCATGATTTCTTTTATTATTAAAATAATTGAATTCAAATGAATTTCTGTGCAATTTTTTCTTTTAATAATTAGTGCTTACAGTGAATCTCGTGTCTTCTTTTGATTTCTTCTCTGTAGATGTCAACACACCGATTTCTATCAGCTCATTGCAGAGAGCCACAACGAGTTTGTTAACATCTCCATCCGGAAGCTCAGAGCGTACGTGATCAGGTATGCTACGCGCTAGAAGAGTCACGAGATGTTTACCTGTGACAAATTAATTACCACAACCTTGAAAGAACTCTCATATTTATTTATACCTTCATTAATAATTCCCGAAATGCTCTTAGAATTTTTAATCCTCCGGAGATGACCTTCCGATAAAAAAAAATATTAACCAAAAAATTGAAACAAAAAAATATAATTACAAATACTATTTTCCATGATCATGAAAATAAGATGAGATTTATTTAAAATGTCTAGACATCGTAAACTCACCGATGGGCGCGAGGTACTCGACGAACTGTGGAGTTTTAAAAACCTCCATTTTCAACAAATAAAATCTTGCGCATTTTCGAATGTTATAAACAATCGAAATTTTTCCAGAATGGTGGATAGTCCCGAAGGTGCCACTTAGCCGTGAAAACCACTGACCAGAACGAGTCGGTCTCTTCGACAGGTACTTAACATTCGAAATTAACGATGACCAGGTCTATCTGTTGGTGGAACGGTGCCGAAAACCGGACGCCACCCAATAAGCACCTGCCTAATTATCCAGAAATCCTCGAACCTCGAAGAATTCAAGAAACAACACGCAAGAGTGTTCTCCCAAAAATTATTTAACGGTTATTCAAAAAATCGTTCGATTCTCCAAGAGCAATTCCACTTTATTCTGTATTAAAAAAAAAATTACGCCTCACCGAGTCTCTTTCATTCGTCACAAAACTCGTACTGAGGCAAAAAACTAAATCAGTAATTGATAATTAACTCCACCCACTGAATGACGGTCATCTGTTCAGCATAAACACCCGAGGGTAACTATATTCCCTGGTGCTCCGAGATGATATCGTTATCAGTCGTCACGAGAGGAAAAATGTCACTTTTTGCGGGGATTACAATGGACTCGTAAAAATAATCAGCAGAAATTGAGAGACGCCGTAAAAATGATAGTCGAGAGATAGCAGAACTCAGTGTAACTGAAACCACCTGCCATTGTCTTTATGATACACCGAAATAAAATGCACTATCACTTTCTGGACGGAATTAAGATACGCCTGAGTGGAGTAATCGCTCTACAATATTGCGCAAACTTGGAGTAATCGTCGGGTGCACAATTGCACGAAAAAACACCTTACGATAATAATTTTCGCGCGGTTAAAAAATATTAGATTAATTCAGAGATCTATTTAAAAAATTCCAGTAATCATAATCCGCGAAATTTCAGATTTCCAATTTCTATTGGTCGAAGAAGTTATTGAAAATATTCGTGTAAACCGGCGTATGAGAAATTTCCAAGATTTTTTAAAATAAATGGGCTCTGAATGTAAATTTTCAGCCAGTGTAGTTAACTCGCGATAGCAGCGGCAGCGAGTTGTAAATACCGCGTGATTTAGTGTCCCCCCCAGGTCCCCCTATGCTAATGAGGAACGAAAACGGCCCCAGGGAAAGATCCAAGTGAACGACGTGGGTTGCGTATTTACTGTGATGAGATGCTTGAACTTGGGTCACTTCAGTACTATTTTCGTGAGACCAATCGTGAGGATTACAATTTCCCTGCTGCATCATGTGCAGCAGAATGCTCGTCAGAGTGTGAAGGAGGATTACCGCATTGTGCGGTGACTCATTAGGAGACTGTTACTATCAAAACAATTGTTGATGGATTGCGTGAGTCAGCGGCTGCACTCGGACAATCACCCACGAAAATAGGACAATAGCATTTCCTCATTTTTGTTAACAGGAATTAAGGATGAGTGGGACACGTGGTGTAATTGTGGGGTTTCCATTTGTTTTCCGGTTATTCTGGGATGACAAACTTAATAAATTATTGAATAAATTGTATTAATTTTATCAATCATTACCTTCGAATTGCTGAACAAGCTGGGGCACAGCTTTGGGGGGCACCCTGACGGACAGTCTACTCTTGGCTTGAGTGGCACGTCCTGAGGTGAAGCTCACGACACTCCTCAATAATACACTGTCACTGGGTGTTCTTTCGATATTACTACGACAGGGTGTCAGACTCCGCAGCTCCGGTGTTGCTGGAATAATTGTCGAGTTATGAATTTTTCTCCTGAACCAAACCATTACTACTACCATTACACGTCACTACGAACATGTGTCTTCAGGGATTCAGGAGGAGTTATTAATGGCGCAAAATGTGTCAAGCACAAGCTGTTAATTACTACAGCTGTTTTGATGGAATTAGTGTTTGAAGCTTCTACTGGGGGAACTTTGATAAACAGGGGTCAAGCGGGGGGTCAGCAGTTTCATTATCGTCACAGCATTCAAACTAGTCTGAGGCTGGATATTCATGACTGTTCGTCTAAAATTAACACAAGAACAATTGAGCTCGTGATCAGCGAAATAAAGGAATGAATTGCAAACATTTTGGAATTTTCAAAATATCGAAATAAAATGTCTCTAATTATTTAGAAAATTGAAAATAAATTAATCCACATAGTTTATGCGTTTTATATTCGTTTCTGTTTGCAAAGAAATGGATTATTCACAGTCGCTGAAAATTCTAACGATTCATTAAGACTTTTTATTGTTCAAATTGAACAATGGAATCTGTTGCGAGTTCTCGTTAAATCGAGAATTCATGAATACAATTCTGTTTCTCCACAATTTTTAATTGTTGCAATTAGAAACGGAAAAATTCAGGGAATGCTGTACCTTAATTAATTGACATGACGAAAAATAAAAATTGAATGAAATAATTGAGGGATTGGAGTGCCGAGGAGTAAAAAAAGTGGAAATCATTGACTCACCGGTTTTGCGGTATTCCGTTAAATTGAAACTGCTCCTCTTCTTGACAGCGGTGTCTTTTCTCTTGACAGTGACAGGTGTGCCGAATGAATTTGGCTTGGGAGTGGTTTGATTGGCATCGGCGACCATGCCGGCCTCCTCAGGATCCGTGAAGACACTGTCACTGGATGATTCCTGGCTGCTTGGTGTTGGAAGGTCATCACCAGCTGGATGACCAGTGTTGACTCGACGCCAAGAGTCGGTGACGAGGAGAGGTGGTCCCGGTGTTGGTACTGGCAGCTCCCCGAGTGACGGGATACTGGTGGCATCGGAGGCCACCAGATCCACCGAACACGCCAATTCCTCATCAGGTGGGAGTGGAGGGCCGGATGTCACGGTGGATTCGGCATCACGATTTTCTACTTCCGATACTGATTTTTCATCGGACAATGGGACTCGTCTCACTGCTGGTGCAGGTGGCGACTGCACAGATATAATTAATTTTTATCTCACTGGAGCCAGGAAATTTATTGACAATACTGAGGAATACGAAAATTTGAAATTGATAGAGAAGAAAAATTGTGGGAATAGTTCGATAAAATCAAATTCATCTCTCATATTCTTGTGTAGACCGCCAAAGACCGATTACGTTGGCGATAACACTGATAACAGCTGGGGATTTCATCTGTTTGTTCAGCACAGCGATTATTAGAACTGACTTCACTTGCAGTTATCTTTTATCAATTATTGTCATCAAACCTGAGGTTTTCTTATTTGCTCTTTAAAAATCCGCATTGGCCTTCGAATTCCAAAACTATCATGACATCGATAGGTCAATAATAAAACGATTTAAATACTATAAAAATAGAATTTCCTAAACCCGATGAAAAAATAGAAAAACTCAATTAAAACGTCGAAACTTTTTTTTATTTCTCAATATAATTAATTTATTATTGATTTTATTATTGTTCTATCAACCCCTTTTTTAAATATCAACTCTTGAACCATAAATAAATATTTTCAAAGGAAGAAATAAATTAAAACTGGACTTTGGAGGAGAGATTAATAAATTTATTAATTAGAAAGTAAAAATTGAGTGTTTTATCCGAACGAACCTTAACGGGAGTGTGTGTCCTCGGAGGTGGTGGTGCTTGTCTCTTGGCAGGGGTGTGGACCCTCTCAAAAGTAGTCCTGGTTGTCACAATCTCCTCAGCTTTCTTTCCCCTTTTTTTTCCATCACTCTGCAAATTACCCATAACGACACCCTGACACCCATCGACACAATCAGCTTTACCTACACCCCCGATTTGAAAAAGACACACCTCCGAATCCCCAGAGTCCCGGCGAGTCTTCTTCGGGGTATTTCTCTCCTTGCTAAAATACGCGGCGCGAATGGAGTTGAGCCAAAATCGGGTGAAATCCCCGATATTTCGCCGGGGTGCCGCCGTTTTGGTCGCGTCTGCGCCATCACCTGGGGTTGCACTCATTTTCCGGGGGATCGATATGCACTCCCAGAAGAAGACCTTTCATTTTCACTCAGATCTCACTCTCACATTCAGTCTCGTCTTCATTCATCTGTAAACAGTCGTCTGTCCTCGATTTCACTTCAATGTAAACCAAACTATTGACTCCCCCAAATTCTCTCGTTTCTTATCACTTCACATTCGTATATTCAGTTTGATTATCAATTGATAACAATTTATTCAAAGGTAAAAGCCATTTTTTTGCACTTTCCTCAATTTTTTATAGATTGCTCTCCCTCTCCCTCTCCCTCTACTCCATCTGAAAATGTATCAGGTACTTTGTGTTTGCTGGATGGACGAAACAGGCGATTCGTTTTGTTAACGATTTATTTTGAGTGATAATTAATGATAATCGGGACCACGAGGAACTGGGGGTGACTTTTTTAAAATAATTCAGCCGAATACTCCGGTTTGATACGATTTTTTTAGGATTTTCGGGAGAGATTTTGGGGATTGTTTATGAAACACTTGGGAATGTTTATAAGACACTTGAAGGTTAATGAGTTCTCGTTGAGGTAGGACTTGATACTGCGATAAGAAAGTTTTGCGCATGAGTGGGGAGTTTGCGCATGGATTTTGGTTTCCCGCCAAAGGATCGCGGGTCCTTCGATTTTTATAATGAATAATTACCGAAGGGTTTCCCTCATTTTTCCATTCAAAAACTGGGGAAACATTTTCGTTATCGACTCCTTTTATCGGGATAATTCTTATTTGTTTATTTAATTTTTATTAAAAATAATGAATGAGATATTAAACATAATTCAATATTTTTATTATTTCGGTGGGATGATGATTTTTTTAATTACATTTTTTTATTTATATGCATTTGATTAATTGTATTAATTATATTGGAATAATATTTATTGTAATTTTATAATAGAATATTTTGTATTAGATGTTTATATGACTTGGGGTCATTTTTTAAATTGTAAATTGTTGAATTTTTTAATTCGTAATTTAAAAATCTAGGGGATTGTGGGAAAATTTTTAACGAGAGTTATTGAAGTCATTGGGGGTTTCGAGAGATTAAGCTGGAGTTATCATTTTGTGTTATCATCAAATTCCTGCAGTGTTTCGCATTTGGTATTCAAATTAACAGCGAGGGATGGCGCTTGCTGGTACTCTCCCCCGATAGCTTCTTCATCCAATAAAAAAAGTCATAAAGAAAGATAAGATTCTCCAAAAATTTCTTTGAAGATGATTTTAGCCGCAAAATTTCCGAAACCTAAGAAAAATACTGAAATTTCATATTGATCACTCGAATTTTTTTTTTTTGAGTTAATTCTGCGCTAGAAAAATGGTGATAACAAAAATTTCGATGCTCCCATAAGTTTCGGGGATATTTTCGAAAAACTCACGGAGTGCCTTCCCCTGATATTCAGAAGACCTGGGGCTCGTCACGGACTTTTGCGCAGCCTCACGCAATCAAGTTCACAGGTGAACCCTCGTAATGTTCATTTCCCATATCCAACTGTCAGTATTACCTCTCCACTTCCGTGGCCAACGATATTATCCAAATTCAAATGATCCCCGACTCCTTGTGAGAATTTCGGTTCCCCGGAAGGACACGGGGTGAATACACCCTTCCAAGAACCAGACGAGACCCTAATCCTTTCCCCATCTCCTCTGCGATTAAAAAAAAACCTTCATAAATAAAAATTCCCTAAAAAGCGACTTAAGATTGAAATGCGATAACCCCTCACAAAAATTCTACGATTTACCCAATCAATCGAAAAAAAAAATACTAATCGTAATCACAATTTCTGATTTATAATTAATGAATAGATAAATAATAAATAAGTGACCGGAAATGATTGCCCATGAATAACGTGAATTGTTCAGTAATTTCTCTGAATATTTCTTTCCGGACATCTGAGTTCCCATGGAACACACGTCGAAGTATGAATTTTATTAATGGTGATGGGTTGCATGTGTGAGCAGCGTAATTACTCACCGAGTCTGTGGGAAAAGACCTCTCCATCGGCTCATCACTGGAGAAGTCACGAACCATTGTCTACCCCATCATCCGGTGTTCTCGCTCGTAATTAGCAACTGGCGTTTTTTCATTAATTTGCTCTTCGTCATCAATTAGTACCATTGGCCCAATTCTTCATCACTCGTACTCAAGAGGTAAATCAGAAGACAAATTCAAATTTATTATGAAAACTGTTCACTTTATTATTCACTTTTCCTTTTTTTTCTCGTAGATTTTCTCCTTTGTTCATCAATATTGCAACATAAAATTTGTACAAATAATAAATCGACAATGTATCAACTAATAATAGGCAATAATTAATATATAATTTCATGAGATTAGGTGTCTTCTTCGCTTTATATTATATACAAGTTACAAACGATCATGTGAACTCTCCCATTGTTCAGATACTGAACAAATAGTGGACTTTTTTCAGTTGCCGAGTGGTCAAGTCGGATATTTTATGTTTAGATTATTCTATCTCAAAATCTATTGATTCTAGGAGAAATTATTGTGAGACCTTTTTCGTGGCCCATTTAATGGGCGACAAAAAAGGTCCTTTCCTGTTTTCACCGAAGACTGATAGATTTCGAGATACATTCGTAATGAAAAAATTGTAAGTTCCGCTTATTTCAATTTATACAGAAAAAATCCTTGTTTCAAGGGGAAAATTACTTGGTTCTAGAAACTCGTGGCTCTAGAATTTAACGACCGGAAATTCTTGGAACAAGTGATTATTTCACTTACTCCAAGAATTTAAGGACCAATTTTTTTTCAATTCAAGGATTTTCTCGCACCTTTCATTTTTCGACTGAAAATATTTTTCTCTTCCCATTGAAAATTCAACAAATTAATATACTCAATAAATGGATAATTAACAAAAATGTTAAATTTCCATTACTGATCTTACTTTACCACTCGGCCTCTGATTATTATTTTGGCTTAAAAAAAAACATGAATTCAGATCTTTATAGTAGAGACGTGTCTAATTACACAATTTTTTTGGTTAAAATTTTCCATTTTCAATATTCCACACGTCTAATTAACGCATCTATCCGTCATGGTTTACAACATTTTATTTCGCTCCATTAATCATTCTCCGTTTACTTTAATTTCTCCCTCGTCGTCACTTTTAATTACGTTGTAGATAAATACTAGTATAAGTCCTCGGCGTATAATGTTACTTCTTCCCTCCATTCGTATGTACATAATTCTTTGTATATATACTTTATTATATTCCATATTTATACAAGGTTGGTTGGAGAAAAGGGGGGTGAATGGGGTGGTTGGGTGGGCCAAAGTGGGTGGGTGAAAAAAATGCTATAGGATCCTGCCGACGCTCGTTAAATTTAATCACCCGTTACGTAAGTATTATATATTCTCTTCATCACTTTTTTTTTTTCGTTAAAAAACACTCTCCTCTCCTCTAAAGTTCCATTATGCAAAAATATTTCAATTCTTCTCAACGCTCACTCTTTCTTTATTTCATTGAAACTGTTTTTCTTTATCTCAAGTTCTCCCTCCTCATCATTTCATTCTAGCATTCCAGCATTTTTCACTCTTTAATCCCAGTCATTCCCCTCAAAAACTAATTGGTCGCAGGTGCGCGAGTCTTCAGCTCGCCCTCGATAATAATTCCACCTCGAGAAAAATCCGGAAACGAGGACAAACGGCTCTCCTTTGTCTGAATATTTAAGTTCCACTCCAACTTCCGGCTATTTCCCTAGGTCTTTTTATTTATTTTCTATTTCTTTCTTAGATTTTTCATCGTCTACGAGGCAAACGTCACACTCTGCTCGACACGTGTGTACAATAGCCGGTGTAAAATCATCGTCTCGTATTGTCTCGTGATATTTCACCGGTGCTTTTGTATTTTTATTTTATCATATGGCGGTTAAACGAGCGCAGTCAGGATGCAATATGTTCTGATCGTGTAAACGTGCGATTGTATTTAATTTTTTACTGTGGAATAACTGTTCTCCTGGGGAATTATTCTATTTTGTTTTTATTAAATTCATGTGCGTGAGTGACGCCGCGGACTAAATTAATCTCCATTTTTCCCATCTCCTCGGTCATTCCTTTGAGATTCAATTTTTCACCGCAGCAATGAGATCAAGAGTGCAGATCGATTTGTGATAAAGTCAGGGGATTTCCGATGAAATTCAATCGTTCATCCCCTTTCTCTGCGTGACTATCATTTAAAAGAGGAAAATGTACCAGAAAAAATGGAAAACTGCACTATTAGAATTTTTTTTTACCTCTAGCACCTGAATTTTCAATTTTGAGAGCGTCAATTCAATTTTACCACAAATTGTTTATAATAATTGAATGATCACTGAAATATGCGGAATTGTAAAATTTGCGAATGTCATCTATCTACAAAACTATTGATTTTAGGAAAAAATTGTAGGAGACCTTTTTTGTCGGGAATGTAATCAGCTACAAAAAAGGTCCTCCACGTTTTCACCGGAAATCGATAGTTTTCGAGACAAATCGATTAATCAAGAAAAATTCGAAATTCGGTGGATTTAACTGTACGAAAAAAAATTGATCGTTAAATCTAATTGAATTTCCAGTGGATTGAGAATGCAGGAGAAAGCATTATCAAAATTTTCAGTAGCTGTGATGATGTTTTTGATGAATTTGAAAATGAAAATAATTTTTCAATTTCGAATAATTTTCTAACAGTGCAGGAGAGTCTAAAAAAATCCCATCAGATCCACTAATTCCACATAAACACTTAGGACACAATTGAGTCAATTAAATCGAAAAACATAAATATCTCCCGTAAAATGTGTGGTTATTCTTTACTAAAATGGAGTATCGTCGATTTAAAATATCAACAAGAACACATTGAATTGTTCCTAGTCCCTTAAGTACCTTACGTAAATTATGGCCTATATTTACAACCTACCGCGATCCTTAAAAATTAACAAATAAAAATGCTTTCACCCTCGTGGGAAGATGAGAGTACGAGACTATTTCACGATTAATTATTAAAAATTTATCTCCAACTTTGAAATTTCGCTGGATATTCTCACGACTCACATTATCAGCCATCAATATATTTTTCGATATCTCTTTTATATCACTTTAGCCTAGTCTCCCCACAATGAACAATCACGTCACATCGATAAATATAAACTTTTAATGACACTATAGGGATTTTTTTGGGTACCAATAAACCAAATAAATCACAATCATCCGTCGTCACAGCTTCGCCCACGATATAAAAGTATAAAATACATTGAATTGAGATTTCTCATCATCCTAGCCACCTCCATTGGTACAATTATCAAATGAGAGTTCACGTCCCCAGAAAAACTTCCCCATCCCTATTTTCTCCGAGGCACGACTCACCAGAGAAAAATTTATAAAAAAATTTCATAGATTTAAAAAATAATTTACTAAAACATTTATTAATTGTCGATCAAATAACGTTTTCTTCTCCGAAATATCCGCGAAAAAAGGCCTCGCGATAGGACGCAGGAATTCCATTGAATTATCTAGGAAAAGTATTTTCTAGGATTTTTTTTTCTCGAAGGAGTGGAGGCGTTTGAAAATTAGCGTTTTCACTCTGTCTGAGGATTTATCGCAGACAGCTTGAGAGCTCTCGCAGCTGTCGACTGTCTGCGATAGATCGAATGAATTTTCATCCTCCTCAGCCCCTTGTTGTCTCACGTTAAAATAGTTTTATGTAACGCGCCTGGTGGAGTATTTCCCCCTGCAATGCCACCTTTTAGCGCACCCCAAGAAGAGACAAGAATTTTCGACTAGTCGCATTGTCTGTTTTTTGAGTGGGCCATTGGGGAGGGATGAGCTATGAAAATATCTTAAATACTGGGGTTTCCGAGGTCAAGCTAACAACGAGGAATTTACCATGCGCTCGCATTCTGTTGGAAAATTGCTCTTGAAATTTCAGTAAAACTTCTCCAAATTCCCAACACCTCATCGTCATCTAAACCCATCATCCCGTAAATGCTAATAATTTATGTTGACGTTTCACGATAAGATGGAAATTTTACCGATGCATAAACACCGGAATTGAGATGCTCCCTAATAAATAATAAATTGAATAGCGAACGTCGAACGACTCAACTCGACGTGACTCGACTGAATTTTCAAGAGATATCTCCCGACCTAAAGGAGATATCGAAATTTTCGCAATAACCATTTTTGTAGATCTCACTTTCGCCTGCAAAAAAGATTCCGACGAAAATTTTGATATCATCCCTCAATTCCGAGATGTTCATTAAAAATCCAAAAAAAGTGAAAATGGGGTGAATTATTGTTTCTACTTCGGCACTGAATTCCCCGCAGTGCATTAAAAAGTTGATGGGGTAGTTTCGAGGATAAAATATAATATCATTGGACAATTGTACCCGGAGGTTCCAGACACACGAGTCTCGCTCAAAGACTCCCAGTTCTGTCAATGTTTACTTTAAAAATACATTAAGTATCTCGACTCAGCGACAAGCAATCCCCTCCCCCGTCGATCATTACCACGATAATAATCTATTCTCACCCCCAGTTCATTCCAACCCCATTCCCTCTTATCCCCATTGTTTCAATTTTCTCATTAAATATGGCCTCGTGGCGTCAGATTGGACTCCATCCAGAAAGTCTCAGTGTCATCTATTAAAACCAGTGTTCACGTCCTGTAATTTCTTATTACAACTGTACAATAACCCCTTAGTCTGTACAACGGCTTTGTATCCTCAATTAATTAAAATAGTCGCCCCTATCATTAATTTGCACATTTGTTTTACAAAACAAAGTAATTAAAAAGAAAAAAGACTAAAAACCAACAAAATCAACCAGCACAAAAAAAAACCATCAAATAATACCTTCAACGATTAGCTGTTGTTCTCGAAGAAGACGTCACTGTTGGAAAATAAAAAATCACCCACGTCCATTTACCCCAATGGACACCTGACACGTCCTCACAATTGCTCAGAAAGTATAATAACCCTCAACGTCTGTATGTTATCATTATGCATCATTTTATTAGATGCTTTGAAGGAGACTCTGGCTTCCTCAAGGCTCTCAATGGCAGTGTGCTCACAGCCCTCGGCTTCAGCGCGTTCACCCTCAGGCTTGTCCTTACCATCACCACATTTTTTCGATCCATGTGCCTCAATGACATCAGGTACAGATGATACAGTCATAGGTGATTGTCTGTCCTTGAGTCTTGGACTGAGCCTAGCTAGACAATCAGGTGTCTGTTTAACATCGTCATCGTGAGATTTATCGATTGTCGTACCTCCACGTCCAATGATCAGAGGTGAATTGCTCCTGGTGTAGGTAGAACCAGTTAAATCCACGTAACCCTGGCGATTGCGTTGTGAATCTATGGGCAAAAGTTTGGCAGTATCGGTGAGTTTAGGACTGATCTGACGGCGGGTGTAAGGACTAGACACTGGTGGTGTCGACGTGTCATGACAATTTTTATCAATTGGTGAACGTGGAGCTCTGGGGCTCAGTGTCACTCTGCTCTGGTCCCTGTGATCATTTTCAGCCCCTGTCAAGTGTCTCTCGATGATACTCGCTGGGATATCAGGTATCGGCTGAGCCTGGGGCTGATCAGGCACTTCGGGAACAGCCTCGAGTAGACCCAGACGATCAATTCGTCGTGGCAGTGTGCCAGGGTGACTGTGACTCTCAGCGCCAGTGAGGTGTCGAGATCTGTGACCTGGCTCTGTTATCTCGAGTAGGCCAGATTTATCGACACGACGCACTGCTACATCGAAATCGGGCTGCTGTTTTAATTTGTGCTGTGCACGTCTCGTTGGTAGGGTACTGTAATAAAAAGGATGACCAGTTGTTACTGGCAATGCTCCATAGTTGGGGCTGATGGCTTGTGGCACTGGTGCTGGTGATTCTGTTTGATTTTCAATAACAATTTCCATGTGGTGATGGTCATAGGGGGCCCGCTGCTAGATCCAAGTGGCTCGCGAGCCATTATCCTGATCTCAGACAATTATCTCCCTTATGATTCTTGGTCGTCGGCTGTTGGGTGTTGAGTAACCAGACTCCAAACTCTCGTCGTAAGAGAGACTCACTTGCGGCGGTTTTGGCTCACCGTCGTATGTCTCCTGATATGGCAGTCCTGACACGTCGTACTGAGAGTCTGAAATTAAACCATCAAACGTTAATATATCTCAGGAATTTTTCCTACTCTTTTTTTTTTCTTGTCAGCATTCTGGGGATTCACAAACACTGATAATTGCTTTATCAATTCACCTGATACCAATGATAAAGCTTCACTTGCAATCCCCTTATTGATCCCTTTGAAATACTCACCAACATGCTTCTGCGATTTGACAACAGTGGCAAAGGGCTCAGTGCAGAATTGCTGCCGGCTGAGGTTGTGACTCTCTCGGTAATCCTCTCTTTGTGGTAAATAGTGCTGGTGGGCTGGATAATCGGACTCTGTCGGGGCATATCCACCAAGATCGTACTGGGGATTTACCCCATTGGCTGCTGCTGATTTCATCTGCCAGATTGAATCCTGGGAGTTGACGGATCCACCGTTATTAGAGTTTGAATAGCTGTTGTCCAGGTAACCCATGTTGACACCTGGTAAATAGAGGTGGTTCAGAGGTGGTTCAAGGGTGATATCCATTTGTGGGAGTGGTATTGTATTCCAAAAAAAATTCAAACATTTCCGAAATTACGACGTGACAAGTTTAAAGCGAAACGATATCGATCCTTAAATTATCAAGATTAAATTGTGATAATACAATGTAAAGCGAAATTTTTGCATAAAATAATGACGGATGACCTAATTTTTTGTTTTACTCATATCTACCAAAAAATTATACGAATTGTATTTTTAATTGCCATAATGAGACTTAAATAGCATTTGCATCGAGCGTGTTTGGTCATTCCATTTTTTTTTCTTCGATTTCGTATTCAAGATCAATTAAATCGAGCCGTGATAGACCGGCATGTAATGATTTATCTCCTACTTGATTGACTCTCCCAATAACAATTAACATGTTAACCGAGAATATGATTGTGACCGCAGGTGATCGAAGCCACAACGAGAGTGCAAAGTTGTTAGTAATGAATTTCCCAATTTACCATTCTCACCATTGATGTTGTGAGTGGGCTGATGATAACCATATCCAGTCTGTGCGTACGGTGGTGTTTTCGAGTCCTCCATAGCTAGTGCATGATCCAAACTGTGCTCGAGGGCTTTATTCTCCGCAAAATAAGGTGGTGGTGCTTGATTCTGTTGTCCATTACCAGTTACCAAACTCGGACGTACCCTGTACCAACGATAATCCATTGTTATTCATTCAAAACTCGAATCCACCCCCTCAGGTATAACATCAACAAGTAAAACCAGAATACATAACCGAATTTTACCCGAACAACAAAAATAACTACTCGCAACCCCACAACACCTGCTCTCTCATTACACGTAAAACTGAGACACAGAGATGACATAAATTGTGAATTGAAGCGTATGGTTTTCCCCGTTTGTTTCTTCCTCCGTAACGAGTGTCTCGTGTCTGAACTAACGAGATTGCCAGAGGATTGTACAAATGAACTCTAAATAGACGAAGGAGAAGACGAAACAAAAAAAGATCCACGAAAGAAAAAAAAAACTGAGACAAAGTATTTCAACGTGGTAATACATCCTTTTTCTACTCTTTAACTTATTTTCCAGCTATCGAGAAAACTTCTCGGTTGATACAAATTCTCGTAAAACTGACGGTTGTTCTCAAAGAAGTCGTAAATCGGTGTGTGAGCCAACGTAAAATTGGATGGCAATGGATTTTATCCACCAGTGCTACCCTTACCCATCGATTCTTATTTCGTTGGAAGTGTTATCCACGCCATAAAGAAGAAAATTGAGTAAAAATAATAAATAAGACGGAAAAGGTGATGTCAGAGTACAATCGTTGAGAAGGTGGCTTGTTGGAGTATATGACGCCATCCAGGGTACATAACTTATTTATAGAAGGTAACATGTACGGCTTCGTTGTCACGCATGATCGAGCATGCATTATCGATATTAACACCTCAGATGTGCCAGTAATGCAACAGCATTTCTCCTCCAAAACTCCTCACGAAAAAAGAGAGGTAAAAAAAAAAGGACAAACTAAAATCCAAGCCGTCAGGATAAAACGAACCGTTAGTTTTTACTGCGCGAATATATACCCCTATCCCTCTCTAATGTACAACTTCTTGCCACGTCTTCCCTCCATCGAGTACGAGACTTCCATTTCACGGTTTACGGTCGGGGCCTGTGGGATGGCTCGGTCGAGCCTGAGAAAATAGGGTAGGGAGATGAAGGCAGTGTGTTGAGGAAAATAAAAAGAGAAATGTGGAGAAAAGGGGAGCAAAAAAGGAATGGGATAACAGGGTGGGAGGGTGAATGAGAGGAAGGGGAGAAAAAAGAAGTGCATCCGGGGTACTTTGAATATAAAAAAGGGGTAGGAGCTTTGCTGGGAGTTCTCTCGAAGAAGTAAGTAGAGTGGATCAGGGTGACTTACGCGTTAGTGTCCATCTCGTAGTCCTTGGCTTTTGCTGCGTGCTTTCGCCGACACCGGCAGAACAGCAGGAGAAGAGCCGTGAAGAGAAGAAAAACAGCTCCACTCACTACTAGGGCAATGAGGGTTGGTGTGGCTAGGGCACCTGCTTGATTTATAACCGAGGGTCCCACTTCAGCCTCAGTCCAGTCCCCGCACTTCTCCCTGTCCGACTTTAGACAAAGCTTGACCTTGAGTCGTGGCTCACCATTGGATGTGTCAGGATCATCGAGAATGCCCTCCCTCTGGGTGGGTGCACTGCCCATAACTTCGAGAGGCCAAACATCGACAATTCTCCATGGTGAATTAGGAACACTGTCTGCCCTCTCGATGAGAGCTACCACAGACAGACAAGTTGGCCCAACATTGATAACGAGTGATCCACTCTCCGGATGATAGCTGACACGATGGGGTGATGGAATTTTGGCAACAGTCGTTGTGAATGTCTTCTCCTCGGAGTAATCAGAATGATTTTTGGTGTTGTAAGCCTTGACCTTGAACGTGTACTTCTGGTGTTGCTCGAGTCCGGTGATGTTGCAGGGATTCGATCGACGACAGTCGAGCTCTTGCCACTGTCCAGCTGGTCCCCGAGGTGGTGCACAATCGAGAGGTACAGATCGATCCTCACTCTCAACCAGGACCCTCCGATAAGACACGAAGTACTTGGTAATGGCCAAACCACCGTCAAACCCAACTTCCCACTGCAAAGCCACATAAGTCGGTCCAATTTCCACAGCACTGAGATCCGTTGGCCTCTCTGGCGCTCCCTTTGGCTGGAGTGTGATGACCGAAGTGACCGGTCCCTGTATGTTAGTCGCCCGACAGCTGTACTCCCCATAATCCTTAGTGTCAATATTCGATATCCTCAAGAACGACGTGTATATATCGTCCTTCTCAACGGTTGTCGTCCAAAGCTCGTAATGCCCATCACTGGAAGCTCCCTGAAGAGGTGCAGCATTTGACCCAAAGCTCCACTGGAATTCCGGCTTCGGCCACGCTTGAACTTTACAACTTATCTCAGCTGTATCCCCAAGATTGTAAGCGACTTTGCTGTGTTTATGCAAAACAATCGGTGCATGGGCTATTTTGAGCATCATTTCGGATTCGACCTTCTTAACTTCGTTAGCAAAGACACACGTATATTTGCCTCTATCGCTGGCAATGATGGCATCAGTTCTTGGTCGTGAGTGGCCGAGGAAACTTAGTGTTGAGTTAACAGTGATGACATTGCCGTGGCCCTTCGACATCAGGGTAACAACTTTGTACAAACTTTCATCGGCAGTGAGTTCCTCCTCGTCCTTCAGCCAACGAACCACGGGTTGTGGTTTACCGTGAGCCATGCAGGACACGGCAAATCCCGAATCACCAACAGTACGTGTAAAATGTGGCTGGAGTTTGGTTACTATTTTTGGAGCTTGATGAACAGTTAGTCTCACGTAAGCCGCTTCACCAGTGCCGATTTCATTCATTGCCGAACATCTGTATGTACCATCGCTGGCTAGTGTAACTGAATCAATGAGAAGCTGCGGTCCATCTGTCTCGATGGGCTGAGCTACAGCTCCATCCTCACCCTCCTTGAACCACTTGTACTGGGGCTCAGGATAGCCAGCTGGACTTGCCATACACGTCAGTATAACCGAAGAATGCTCAACAGCAACTGGTGAATCCGGTGTAACCTTCGCTGGTCCGGGTTTATGGCGTATGTGAATATTGACTCTAGCTGTTGCCGAATGATTCACACGTTCACCACCACTTGGATGAATCATATTGACCGCTTGGCACGTGTAGTTACCAGCGTTCTCAGCATTGACTCTGGTGAACCTGAGAATCGGCCCGGACTGTCTGAACTCTGGTTTACCATCCCTGAACCACTCGACAGACGTCGGTTGGGGATTAGCTGATACATTGCAGTGAACTGTGACGGTGTCCTCGACCTCAGCAACGCGAATAGTATCACCCTCGATGGCAACTGACGGTGGGTAAAGGACGTCGAGGTACAGAGATGCCTCACCAGCTCGTCCCAGCATATTATCAGCCTGACAGGTGTAGTGTCCAGCGTCCTGAACTGTCACTCTGGGTATCGTGTGGTCAAATGACGTTGCAAAGAAACTACCGTCTCGCATCCAGCGTACCATGCTGACTTTGGGTTTGGAATCGACGTTGCAACGGAGAATGGCTTTACCATTTGCCTCTACCTTCAGAGGATTCTCCGGACCAACAGTCACACGGGGAAAGTAATTAACATCAAGTCTCACAGTGGCATTCAGTGACTCTCCCACGGGCATTGCCCGATTCCTAACGACACACCTGAATATGGCACCGTCATCATCCTTGGTGGGTACGATCTCCAATTCACGTCCGGTGTGGAGTTCCTTGTGGCTGTTGCCACGGTACCACTTCACCTCAGGCTCTGGACTTCCACCGTACGTGTTGCACTGGAGTTTCAATGGTTTGCCCTCGGTAGCTGGTGTCGATGTTGGTGATATTGATGGTGGTCCTGGCTGCCTGAGAACAGTCAGTGTCACATTTTTGTGGTAGAAATTGACACCACTCCCTGTTGCTTTGATACGACACTCGTATTTTCCGTTGTTTCTGTCGTACGACACGTTGCGAATCTCGAGATCATAGCGACCTGCCGGGAGATCCATGTCGACACTGTAATTCGGTGACAGGGCTTTGCCGTCAATTACTGCGTTATCGTGGACATTGTTTGTGTGTGTCAACCAGAATGATGTGGCATTCTGTTTGACTGGAGGGAAGCGACACTGGAGAAGAACCGTCGAGCCCTCGTGCGTGTCAACCTGAGTCTCTTCGGCGGCCTGCACCTGGGACAATGCTGCAACAGAGAAGATTATCATGAATTTAACACTCTCGAAGAAGAGTTATAACATTTGAACCAAAATTGTATCAAAATTTGGGATAAGTGATGGTTCTTCAAAGAGCAGTGGATTTTTACTGCTCCAATTGGAATGATTCACATCAATCATTATGGTAGTGCACTTTTCTTTTAGGGATGACGATAAAAGTATACGATGCTATAGAAATTAAATACGTATCATGGACAATCGGTGCTTTGTCCAAACGACACTCGGATAAAATCAGACTAATAACACTTGGAATGAGAATTATATGATTCATTATGAAGTTATAGCCGTTGTATATTTAACTGTCACTTCTCTCTCATTATTGCTCATTGTTATGAAAATCGTGCGCAGTAATTTTGGTATAAACGACGACCCAAATTGACTGTTTATGGGGTGAGTTTGGGGAGGAAAGGGTGAATTTACGGGGGGCGCCTTCGGATCACGCGCGGGAGTACTTTGGCAGTTTATCGCAGGTCCTGAGAGTTACTGGAGTAAATGCAAATGATTAACAATTCGAGCGGTAATCTCTGACCAATCCTTTCAACCCTTCATCGTAATTCCCCTCGCAATCCCAGCAAGAAATTGAATTAATCGAGGCAATCGTATCAAGGACGGAGGGGATAGTTGGGTGGACGCTACCGGCAGGGGGCGGAGTGGGTGGTTGGAATAGTTCGACATGATCCGCATTGCGTTTACTTCCGGTAAATTCGAAACAATGGGAAAGTGATGTCGACATTTTATTAAGCACATCTGGGATTTTCGTGCGGCTTCTCCATTTTCTTAATAACGAGAATAAACGACGGGTCAAGAAGGACAAATGGTGCCATCAAGGAGAGACATGTTTCTTCTTAAAAGGAAAAAACTCAACCACGTTTTCAGCTCTTTACGACGGCACTCCTGCGTTATTACGGGTTTCTACCGTGTACCGCAAATTTAGTGCACGTTAACGCAGAAGTTTAACCTCCCTCAATAATAGAGGTGAACAGAACAATAAACCTGATTCCCCTGGGGCTTCAAAGGCCCTCCAATTCTGTTGAGAATTTCTCGTTCGTGGATTCTTGGTAATGTAGAACATGGAATCTTCCTCTTGAGGTTGTCGCGGGAATAGCTTTCGAGCGTTGAACATGTATTTGTTGTGTACCGTTGCAGATTCTCGTGGAATTTTTTTCAGTATTGCATTCTTTTTCCACTAATTAATTCATTATTATTCAAGGGAGAGATCAATAGGAAACACTAGGGAAATTCAGCGCTTATTTACCTGGAAATTATGTGAAATCTAATTAACATTTCGGGAAATAATGATTCATGAAATCAAATGATTCAGTGAAAGGAAAAAATGTGAAATTTTTTACAAACGCTTGGTAAAAGTATGCATTGGTTGAAATGAAATTTTCTCTCGGTGCAGTGGATTTTTCATCGACCCAATTGTATTCCCCACGAGTGCCACCACGTATGGAAGGTCTCCCCGGGGCAGTTCTAGTGTCGCCAGTGATACGTGTTATCCTGTCAGCTGCAAGACGATGTGCTTCGTCAAGATCCAGCAACCCGAAACTCCCGACGCCGCGATTATCGCCCGTTCCTCAGATTCAGAATGACGCAACTCGAGAGAAAAAGATAAATAAATAAATGTGAAGAGAAAAGAAAAAAATGCATCAGCAAGTTTGGTTTACGGTAGCTCGGTTGACGCAGCGCTCGTTCACGTTTAATGAAAAATCTTGTATATACCGTATGACCCCTCGAGTGCGTGATACGAGGATCTTTTACGAGATTGGTTGGGAGAGTTTAAAAGATTGGTGAGTGCTGCAGTGACCAGGAAGGCGCGTGCTGGACAAATGTGGGTCGCCATTGGGTCGGATAACGGTCGAACCTACGATGTTGAGAGGTAAAACAAGTTGATTCGTCGAGGAGGAGGTGAGTGGGAGTAATCCAGGAGTTTCATACTATTGTGTATTTCATTCCACTTGAATTCTTATACCACTTGTGAAATTATTTGCACACTCAGCGTTATTTTTTTTATTGTCGCGCGGAGGAGTGAAAATCGAAAAACGATGGAATCACTCGAGTGATGCAACGGACCAGCCAATCAGGCTTGTCATCATTTTGTACCTGGGATTGGGTCATTGATATTCACACGATTATTATTGAATTATTGAATTTTATTCATTTTTATTGTGGATTAAAATTTTTTAATAAATCGCGAACGATTTTTTTCTCAATATATGATATACTGTTCTGGATAATTGCTGGGAATTTCCGAAGAGAAAGTTCTTTTTTGAGGATTCGTGTTTCCGTCGGTTTCGGAGGATTTCAGTCCCTTCCCCAGGGGTTAGACGAAATTTCAATCGAATATTTTGAAAATGGATCCACACCAGGATGAACCGTTCTCGCCGAAGGCATCTGATGCTAGGCGTCATGTTTCTTTCTTCCCCGAATGGTCTGAAACTTCTGAGATGGCTGTCTGACCGTTGAATAGCTGTAGGCAATCCATGTAAAGGCACGAAAAGAATCGACTGCCGAGGCCTCAGGGAGATTCATCTCTTTTTCCATGACATCCTTCTACAGCACGAAACAGCTCTTCAAGAAGAAATCCCGTAAGTAACTCAACGGAAACTTTATATCTTAGTAATCCCGCAGAAATGAACAGAACTATAAAAATGAGAAACTCTTGGGCATAAAAAGATAATAAAGTCAGGATAAAAATCATGATGGAAAAATAAGTTGCAGTGCGTTAAGAGAAAGAGAGTCGATATCGATTGAAATTCGTCGATGGGATAAATAGTATCAATTGTCATTTGTTGAAATGGCGAAAAACCATCAAGATTCGATTTGAGGATTTTTTTTTTCAGGTGGACTCATCCCATTTCAATGTAATTGGACTCGTTCGCTCGGTGGAATATTCTCCATTGAGTTACCGGACCCTTTTTCGTTTTTTTTTTGTCGTTTTATTTCTATGAAAGCATTTTCACACTGAGCCGATGAACTTTTGAATAAATAGTGGCGATTTTTCAACAGTTCGTGGGTTCATCCTGAAAGAATTGAGGATTGAGGGGTTACAACTTTTGAAATTGTGTAGCTGTTTTTAAAACGGTTTTACGGTTTTCCGGATTTCACTGCTCGACGAGCGTTTTTCTTTCGATTTTCGTTTTATTTAGACAGTCGTATTTACACGGATTTTGCGCACGATGAATTTTTTGAGGAGTTTTTAAACAGGTCCTCCTGTTTTCTGCAGTTCAATCCAGATAATCGTTTGACTGGGGACAGTAATTAATAGAGGGTAAGTACAAAGGGAACTGGTAAAAAATAGTTGGAATTGAAGTTGAGGATCAAATTTTACATTTTTCATTTATACGTTTTACTTCAGTGCCTTCAGTGCTCTCTGAATTTGCACAATTCAAAAAATTGAGATTCAATTTTCAATTTGAAAAAGAATTATCATTATTATTTTTATTGCAAATTTTTAATTCAATTTTTTAAAGTGTTTGAAATAAAATTACAAAAAACACAACGCATTCGCACAATTCACAAAATTGACATTCAATTTTCAATTTAAAAAAGAATTATCATTATTATTTTTATTGCAGCTTTTTAATTTAATTTTTAAAAGTGTTTGAAATAAAATTCCAAAAAACACAATGAATTTGCACAATTAACAAAATTGACATTCAATTTTCAATTTAAAAAAGAATTATCATTATTATTTTTATTGCAAATTTTTAATTTAATTTTTAAAAGTGTTTGAAATAAAATTCCAAAAAACACAACGAATTTGCACAATTAACAAAATTGACATTCAATTTTCAATTTGAAAAATAATTATCATTATTATTTTTATGGCAGCTTTTTAATTCAATTTTTCAAAGTGTCTGAAATAAAATTCCAAAGAACACAAAAAAAAAGAGATGAGTGAAATCTCGGCTGGGGATAATATCGAAGATAAAGCTATCAAAACCAGGGAAAAATAGTAAGCCAGGCTAATGAAAGCGAAAAGACCAGTGAATTCCGTGTCTATAAGTCGTCCACGTCAGTGAAACCAAGGGTTGCAGGGGGTCTTAGGATGAGTATGCCATTTGCGTACTAGGTGTTCTATCCACATTGGTATTTATGACCTCGTCCCAAGTAAAGGAAGGGGTGCAGCACCGACGGGCTTTATACACCGTGGAATTGTGTTGGTGCTGAGAGGGAAAATGAGAGAAAATGAGAGAGAAAGAGATGGGAATTACGCCTTCGGTCGTTGAATCGTCGGTGGCGTGCCAAGCACCAGGTCGAGCACACTCTAACTTCGGAGTACAGCTACCCTGAGAGAAAACCTATCCCCAGTGCTGTGTCTCCAGAGGCCCTCCTTTATCAAACCCTCTCCTCACAAGGGATTCCATATTTTCCATTTATCGATGACTACCAACAAATATTTCATATGAATTTATCAAATATATCACTTCATATTTTCATTTTTTTAATTATTTAAAAAAATTATTTGAAAATTATCAATTCACATTTTCGTTGAGAAGAAAAATTAATTAGTCGGTCTCGATTTTCAGGATAGAAATCCTATCGAATGTCGATAAAAAAGTCGTTTTTTTTTTAAAGAGAAAAATATAATGGAAAATCGATGAATCGAGAGTTGAATGCATCAAGGAAAAAACATGAATCTCTTCGATTAATCGACAATCTCCACTCCTTTCACCGCGTTCCCCACCCCCTGGGTGTTCTGTTTTATTGTCTTATCGACTTTTAAAACGGTAATGGACCTGAATAGGTTTATATCGATTAAACTGGGGCGATATATTTTTTGTTTCTTGATGTTTCGCTTTTTTTTAGGGCTCGAGTGGTTCACCTACGAAGGAGGGAGTATTATCGATGGTCTGCATTAGGAAGAGCCATTTCTTGCAGGTTTCCTCGTGTTACCCGTGTCTCCGAGGGTTTATGGGGTCTGTACGTGACCGGCTGCTGTACGACAGATTTAGGTCTGGTAAAT